TTTAATTACAATAAAAATGATTACTTAAAAAAAGAATATTGAATGAAAGAAACGTTTTCAATTTTTTTGGGAAATGTGCAGAATGGGAAATAACAATCAAAATGGTTCGACCTTCGAAAACTATCCTCAAAATGTCCAGGAAAATTATTTTCCATAATTATGGCTTTAATTAATTATACGTTCATATTTTTTCGATTTTTCCTTTATAAATTTGGCTTCGACTTTCGAAAACTGTCCTCAAAATGTTCAGAAAATGAAGGTACTACGAATTCAAGAAGGCGTATAAGTGATTTCATTATTTATACGCTTATATGGCACCACGAATTCAAGTAGACGTATGAGTAATGTTGTTAATTATACGCTCATATTTTTTAAATTTTTTTTGTTTATACATTTGGGTTCGACTTTCGAAAACTATCCTCAAAACGTCTTTACAAAATGATGACACTACGAATTCAAGTAAGCGCATGAGTGATGTCGTAAATTACACGCTCATTGTTTTTTTCCTTTATGAATTTGAAGATGAATTTCTTACAACTTGTTCGTCAGAGGAAAAAAAATAATTAAATAATTTTTAAACTGTATATTTTTTGGGGGAAATGTGTTCGACTGGGCAATAACAATCAAAAAGTTTTGACTTTCGAAAACTGTTCTCAAAATGTTCAGAAAAAAGGTCTTTACAAAATTATGACACTACGAATTTAAATAGCCGTATGAGTTAATTATACGCCCATATATTTTTGCGATTTTTTTTGTTTATAAATTTGGGTTCGACTTTCGAAAACTGTCCTGAAAATGTAAAAAAACGTGTTTACAAAAGTATGGCACTACGAATTCAAGTAGGCGTATGAGTGGTGTCGTTAATTATACGCTCATAATTTTTTTCGATGTTTCCTTTATAAATTTATTAAAATTGTACCGGTTTTTGTTGCGGAAGCAGACATATTTTGAACAATTTCTTTGTCATGAAATCAGACGAAAATAAATATTAAATAGTTTTTAATTTTATTTCGATATATAACCTGTGAGCGGAGAAGTTTAGTCGAACGGGGCCGATACCCTACACAACTCCCACGAAAATCTAACTTTCTGTGATATTTGTAACATTAATCGACTAGAGGTCAACAAATATTACTAATATTCACTACATCCCTTCCAATTACTTGCTTTCACCTTGGGCTGTGTTGTGAAAAAACACAAAAATTTAAGTTTTCGGCCCACTTCATCCCAATATGATTATCTGATCATCACCGAAAATCATAGGCATTGTCCTTGACCATAATTCGGACCTCACGGAACATTTCAAAGCGATCAGCGCTATATTTCCGCCCACCTGTAAATATGTTAGTCTAACTCCCACATCCGGATACATACTACAATATAATTGGTATCGATTTAAAGGTCAACAACTCCTTTTCGATATATTATCAACATTTTGGGTCTATGTCCTTCAAGAGTAAATATATACGCCATAGAAAACAAATTTTGTAATTTTTCACACAAAAGTCAGGGTCCATTTGACACGCTAAATATTGACCGATCTTTATCAAAACAGGCATGCTTATTCTTTGGCTCGATCCCCTTCTCTATGTAAAAATGCTCGATGTTTGGGCCATAATTGCGGCCTATGGAGCAACCAGAAAATCAGACAAAAATAAAGTTATTGGTCCATTTCATCCCCTAAATGTTAACCGAACTTTACCAAAAACAATAGGGGTCTTCATTGGCTTAAAGATGGGTCTAGAACCAATAATTTACGGCGTTACAAACTCTTGGGGCTGTACAAAGCTATAATAACCTGACAACATAGTTGTGTAGGGTATAAAAACCGAAAGAGCCAGTATATAGACATCTGTAGGCGTATGAGTGGTGTCGTTAATTATACGCCCTAATTTTTATTTTTCATTGAAAGAGTTAAGGGTTTTTTCTTTTGCATTTTAAAGGTGGTATCCATTTTATATTGCCTGCGATTTATGGAAAATATTTCAAATGGATGATAAAAATATTTTGTTTTCCATTAATATGGTGTCAAAAAATTAAAACCATTTCCACCATTTAAAACAATAGCTAAAAAAACTAAATAGGTCGGAAAAAGGTAATTTTAGAACGATGCCAATCCGATATTATATAGGCGAATAAATGTTGTTGTTAATTATACGCCATTAGTTAAGAAAAGAAAAATATTCAGGACTAAACTACTATTCTAAAAATATTCCATGGGCTGATAAAGATAACTTTTTTTGGAAATATGGTTATACAAAATGTCGTTTCAAAAACAAGTTCGTTTCAAAAACCATATATATATATATATATTTTAAATGAAAGAGTAGTCCGACGGATCTACCATATCATACCCTACACATCTACCATTGAACTGTAACTTTTTGCGGATCAGAATTCCGAGACGAAGACGAAGATTGGCGTATAAACGAGGCCGATAGAGATCATTTCATCTCTTAAATATCAACAAATATGTACCAAAATATATAGGGGTCTTCTTTGACTAGAATCGACTAAGCTAGTCGAGATATGAGATATATTGATTATGAGATATATTAATCATGAGATATATGATGAACATACTAAAAGGTGGTTCTAGGATCAATATTACGCGGCGTTACAAACTCTGTGTAGGGTATAAAAATCCTAGTGTTTATACACTACACAACTATGTTGCCAGGGTGTTTAGCTTTGTGTAGCCCCAAGAGTATACCGATCGTCATATCTCGACTAGCTGAGTCGATCTGTGTCCGCCCGTCCGTTTGTCCATTATAATTTTTAAACATATACAGGCCACAGTTATGGACCAATCTTCACGAAATTTTGCATGTAGAATGGGTTCTGGCCAATGAACCCCTCTATTTTTGGTAAAGATCGGTTAATATTTAGGGGACGAAATGGACCAAATACTTAATTTTTGTCAGTTTTTCTGGACGGTACAGAGGCCGCCATTATGGCACGAACATCGCGAGAAGAAGATCGGGCCAAAGAATAAGCATACCTGTTTTGGTAAAGATCGGTCAATATTTAGTGTGTCAAATGGACCCTGAGTTTTGTGTGAAAAATTATAAAATTTTTGTTCTGGGGCGTATATATGTACTCCTGAAGGATATAGACCCGAGTAGTTGATAGCATATGCAAGAGGAGTGGTTTGCCTTTAAAGTTATACCAAATATAGTGATGTATCTACTCAGATGTGGGAGTTACAGTCAAATATTTACAGGTGCTTACGTATTCAGATATTATTTAGTAACCCATTACCACATTAGAGGGCGGACATATTGCGCTGATGGCTTTAAAATTGTCCATGAAGTTCCAGTTATGGTCAAGGACAACGCCTACAATTTTCGGTGATGATCGGATTAAAATTTTGGGTTGAAATGGACCGAAAACTTAATTTTTTGTGTGTTTTCGAGCCGAGTATAATTCGAACATCACAACACAACCCACCGTGAAGTGAATCTGGACAAGTAATTAGAAGGGCTGTACTGAATATTCGAAAAAGTAAGGAAGAGGTGCTATTGACCTCTAATCGGGCAAGAAATATTACCCACACTCGGAATAAACATCCGCAGATAATTAGAGTTCCGTGGTAGTTGTATAGGGTATCGTATGATCGGTCCCGTCCGAGTATACTGCTCCGCTCACTGGTTTTAATATGATTAAACAAATATTTTTTGAAGTACATAAAAAATATCTTGCTCTATTTTTTGGACTCCTAATTTTATATCTGGCTTTATCACCTGATTTCCTTTAAAAATCTAAATTGTTTCTGAACAATTCCTAAAACGAAATCACATTTGGTAACTGGAGCGTATACGTGGCGACGTTACTCATACGCGCCAACACACCTTCCTTTTTCTCTTGCCTATTTTTGTTCGCTCTTGTGATTTGAAAATTATGTCAAACGTTTTTTTTTTTATCATTTGTTATTATTTTATCAATAACTAAACAATTTATTGATTTGTTTCTTATTATTATTTAAACAATTTTCAGTTGTTTATTTAGTTTTTTATTATATTTTGTTTTGTATTATTTAAAAATATAATAATTAAGTTTAATTTGGTTTTATAACATTATAAATTAACTTAAAATTAATAACAGAAACAAAAAACAAATTAAGTATATTTTTTCTTCTTTCAGCATTTTTGTTTTGTTTTTTTTGTTTGTTTCACTTTTCACATAATAATCTAAATTATTTTTTTTTAAACATTTATATTTGATATTTAATAATAATAGTAATAATAGTATGCATTGTAAAAATAAAAACTTAGACTATGTTTTTGTTGTTTTTTTGTTTGTTTTGTTTTTATGTTGCTCATATTTTGTTGCACTTTGTTTTGTTGAAAGTGTTTTGTTTTTTCATTTGTTTTTTTATTCTTCTTCCTCTTCAATATAAGTATATAATAACATTAAGCTTAACAAAAATATATTTATTCTTTATTTTCATTATAATTTCAATTTCTTTTATAGAAATTTGTATATTTATTATTGTTTTTTTTGTTGTTGTAATAGTAAAGTTATTTTTCATATATAATAATTTTCCTTTAATAAGGTGGTGTTTCTTGTTTATCTCAAAAAATATTTTTAATAATATTTTTTTATATTTTTGTATATAATATTTAGTTTTTTATTTTGAAAAAAATTTATATAGAAGACTTCTTTTAAAGAAAAGTCTTCCGGTTGTAATAATTCCCATAATTTGTTGCTGGTATCAACATTGTTTTCATCATATAAATATAAAACAAAATTTTGATTATAATTGTTGTTGTTGTTTGCCGTATTCATAATTTTATATATATTTTTAATAAAAATGTTTTTATATATTTTTTAAGTTAAAAATTTGAGTATAATTATCATTATTATTTTTTTGTTATCTATAAATTTTTTATTTTGTTGTTTTTTTGTTGCAAAGAATAAAATGTTACATAGTTTTGTTGTTGCTGTTACTATTTTGAAATGAGGTTCATACATCAAAGCTGCCACACGCTCATACACACACACACTTTAGAGTAATAATTTTGTAAATTCTGAAAAGAGAGAAAAATGAAGAGTTGGATAAGCATAGATAAATATTTTTTTTAGTGTAAATTTTTTGAAAAAAAAAAATCATTTTTATAGCAGAATTATAAGCATGATTCTATGTTAATAAAAAATAAATGTTTATATAAATATTGAAAAAAAATGATTTTTTTGGAAATATTTAATAAAAATATTTCTAAACCTAAAAATGGTTCGCCTCAACCTGTTTGTACACATTTTTATACCCTCCACCATAGTATGGAGGGTATATTAATTTTGTCATTCCGTTTGTAACTCATCGAAATATTAATTTCCGATCCTATAAAGTATATATATTCTTGATCAGGGTAAAATTCTAAGACGATCTAGCCGTGTCCGTCCGTCCGTCCGTCTGTCCGTCCGTCCGTCTGTTGTAATCACGCTATCTTCTGAAGGAATTGAGATAGGGTGCTGAAATTTTGCATACGGTTGTCTTTTGTCTGCAGGCAGGTCAAGTTTGAATATGGGATATATCGATCCACGTTTAGGCATAGCTCCCATATAACAGTACCTCCCAATTTTCGGTATTTTAGGGTTCTTGAGCACGTTTTTCAACCGAATACGCTGAAATTTGGTACATTGAGTTCTTATTGGGTATTAAATGTCTCCACAAAAAAATATAAATATAGGTCCACTTTTTCTGGAAGCCCCCATATAACGGTACCTACGGATTTTCAGTATTTTGGGGGATTTTGATCGTATTTTTTCCACAGAATTGTCAGTAATTTAGTATTTTAAGTTCTTAATAGGTTCCAAATATTTCCACAAAAAATTATTAACATCGGCCCATTTTTTCGGGTAGCCCCCATATAAGGGTACCCCCAATTTCGGCATTTAGGCTTAGCCGTAGCCCCTGTGTGGGAGGTACCTTCTGGTAGAAATAATAAGATGGGATGAAATCAAATTTTTCTGAAACGGATTTGATCCAAAGAAACGTGGGGTCTAGAACCAATATTTCGATGAGGCACATTTTCACCGTGTGAACGTGTATACACACTAATTAGCCATAAGGCTGAGGGTATAATTTTCTATTACAAAGTTATTTACGTAATCAGTTTGTAGAAATGTCGGTATAGGTCCATTTTTTTGTATGTTCCCTATATTTTCATTTCAAGTACCTGGTGGAGGGTATCCAAAGTTCGGCCCGGCCGAACTTAACGCTTTTTCACTTGTTTACATTAAAGTAAACACAGCTTCCACCCAAATAGGGTTTGGAGGTCAATATCTTGAAAAGTTTGCGACGACAGATCAATTAACCCAAAACTACTATACTATATATTTGCCATATATATTTGAATAAAAAATATTTTTTTATATTAATGAAAAATGTTTTTTAGGTTTCTGAAAATATATTTAAATGCAAAAAATATATTTTGAAGTTTTCGAAAAAATGACTATCTGATACCCTTCACCACTTTGAGTATATTGTACATATGTGTCCTTACAATTGCATGTCAATGTTCCCTCGAAGGAACGTAATAATTTCTTTCCGCAACCAATGATAAATTTAAATTCATTTGGGCAGATTTGGAGTCGACTGCGTACCATGGGACAAATTTATGAAAAACGATTTACAGCAACATTGATACACGCTATTCGGTCGCCGCACTGTTAAAAATGTAATTTCAATCAGACACCCGTTCGAAATACATATGGAAGCTATGGCAGCATCTACATTAATATCAACAAAACGCGATAACGTTATTCAAGTCTCAATTTGATACGTTGTGTAGAAATTCGTGTTAATCGTACAAACATTGGTGCATCATTTATGTGAAATCGAAAATTTCGTGCAAATTGAAGTATATATAGGGACTTTAGTGCACTGTGTACCTAAAATCAGACGAAACTATATATGCGAGCTATATTTAAATCTGAACCGATTTTCACGAAGCTTACCACTCATCATTCTAAGTCTAGAATCCAGTACGCTATGCCAAATTTCGTGCAAATTAAAGGATATAAAGGGATTTTTGTGCACCATTTACCTAAAATCGGACGAAAATATATGGTAGTTATATCTAAATCTGAACCGATTTTTACTAAATTTAACACACGTCATTCTAGACTTAATTCAATACGCTGTGCCAAACATTGTGCAAATCGATGGATATATAGGTACTTTGGTGCACCATTTATCTTAAAACGGACGAAAATATATATGGTAGTTATATCTAAATCTGAACCGATTTTTACTAAATTTAACACACGTCATTCTAGACTTAATTCAGTACGCTATGCCAAATTTCGTACAAATCCGAAGATATGTAGGTACTTTGGTGCACCATTTGCCTAAAATCGGACGAAAATATATATGGGAGCTATATTTAAATCTGAACCGATTTTTCCCAATTTCAATAGGGTTTGTCCTTGGGCCAAATAAGTGATCTGTACCCTGTATCACAGTGTAGTGAAGGGTATACAAATATATGTTTTAATTAAAAACCAGTGAGCGGGGCCGTCCATACGATACCCTTCACAACTACCAGGGAACTCAAACATTCTGCTAATGTTTATTCCGAGCCTCTTCAATATTTCTGATATTAGAGGCCATATTTTGCGAAAATTACTAATATTCAGTACAGTGTTTCTAATGACATGTTCACTTTCCCTTGTGTTGTGATGTTCGGCTTATAATTGTTGCCTATGCACAAAAAATTATGTTTTCGGTCCACTTCATCCCAAAATTATTATCTGAACATCACCGAAAATTATAGGTGTTGTCCTTGACCATAACTGGAACCTCATGGTACATTTCAAAGCGATCCGCGCTATATTTCCGCCTTCAAGTGTGGTAATGGTTTATTAAATAATATCTGAATACGTAAGTACCTGTAAATATTTAAGTGTAACTACCTCATCCGAGTACATACGACAATATAATTAGTAGCAATTTAAAGGTCAACCACTCCTCTTGGATATGCTATCAACTTTTCGGGCCTATGTTCTTCAGGGGTAAATATATACGCCATAGAATACAAATTTTGTAATTTTTCACACAAAAATCAGGGTCCATTTGACCCGCTAAATATTGACCAATCTTTATCAAAACAGGCATGCTTTTTCCTTGGCCCAATCCCCTTCTCCATGTAAAATTTTGCGATGTTTGAGTGATAAGTCTTCATTCGCCAGAACCCATCCTACATGCAAAATTTCGTGAAGATTGGTCCATAACTGTGGCCTGTATCGTGTTTACCAATTATAATGGACAGACGGACGAACGGACGAACACACATGTCTAGATCGACTCAGCTAGTGGAGATATGACGATCGGTATACTTAAAGATGGGTCTAGGACTAATATTTCGCGGCGTTACAAACTCTTGCGGCTGCACAAAGTTATAATACCCTGACAACATAGTTGTGTTGGGTATACAAATTGAAAACGTTTACGACATACCTGAAAAAAAATTTTTAATTTACACTTATTTTTTCAAATACACACACACCAACACTAAGGTTAGAAACATAAATTGTTCTTAGCCATCCACATTGCCATAAATCAACGCCTACCCCGTAACAGTAACAACAATAATAATTCAACTTTAATGAACAATGTTACCAAAGTCTGGTACTTAGCACCATTTGTAGTATCGCGTGCCAAAATGCGTTCTCAAAAACAAAAAAAAAAAAAAAAAAATGAAAAAAAAACAAATAGAAACAAGTAAGAAAAAACAAAACGGTTAGGCAGAATAGAATTCCCATACCGTCTAAGCTTTTTTATGAAAATTAACTTTTTTGTTCACTTTGGAAGTAAAGGCAACTGGAAAAGAGAAAAAACTTCGTGGAAATATTATTTAATGCTAGATTTTCCTTAGTTAAATATTATGCTGAAACGTTTTAACAGCTTGCCTCAAGCTGTTCTTTGTCAATTGCCATCTCTGTCCTGCTGTTTTGTTTTATTTTTTTTTGGGTTTCTTTTGAAGTAACATTACCTTGGGTTGGTCATTATCCCCTTAAAGCATAAATTATGAAATGAGGTTATGTTGCTTGTCGTCCGTCGTCTTTGGTTACCAAGAAAAAGTAATTAACTCCATTAATTAGTTCTATTTCGTTTATTGTGGTTATGGTTTTCGACATCGTTAATTTGTTTCTTTTGGAATTTATTAACAGATAATTATATTCAAACTAAAAATGTTTTCTTTTCATTTTTTTTTGTTTTTGATTTTTATTAAAAAAATATTTTTGATGCCCAGAATTAATCGTAGATTAAAAAAATGTTCAGTCAAGAAAGAAAAGTAGTAAAGTCGGACTGGGCCGACTATATGATACCCTTCACCACTTTGGGCATATTCTACATATGTATCCTAACAGACGTCACCTTTTCGAAGGAATATTGACATGAAATTGAACGAACTTAAGGGAACCCCACCCATTCTCGATTTTAATTTTTCAAGATTTTCAATGGGCTGGTAAATCAATACCAATGCTTGTTAAGGTTTGTAACTTTGCACATATATATTTGAAGATTTAAAAAGGAGGAAAAATAATTTACAAAAAAAATTGTTGTTGTTTTTTGTTGTTTATTGTGATCAAAGAAAAGTCCTTATTTTTGATGGCGGTCATGATAACTCCTTACTGGAACATCGGAATCCGAAAATTCCAACGGTGTTAGAAAGAGTACATGTCTGGCTCTCGTATGAACTAGGATTATTGACTTCGCTCTAAAATTAACAAAATAGCAAACCTTTGAAAAAATATTTTTGGAAAATCGACGATTTTTTACTAAAAACCAATTTAAAAAATAAGGAAGATCTTCACCGATTGGTTTTATCCTAGTTCATACGATAGCTATACACTCACAGAGAAACGTGTAAAAATTTGAAATCGATTGGGTTATTAGTTTTGGAGTTATCGTGCCCGTCATTCGCAAAAAAATGTTTAGAGAAAAACGCGTTTAAAGTTTGAGAAGCCCTTCAGCCGTAACTTGATGCTGACACAATAAATCGGCAATATCTTCAAGAGTTCT